TGAAGTATTCTATTATTGATGATCTGACACTATTGGGATTTTTCCCCAACAGCATGTGTCTAGTACTTTAACACACCACAGTGTTTATTTAGACACACACGTACGTACACTCATGCGTGCGCACACACACTCATATACATTTAGTGAATATTATTGAAACACTACAAAAGAAGACGAAAAATAAAACGAAAAGGTTTTTTGACGTACGGTGGTCGTTAATAATTAAGTATAACTCAAGACTTCAATGTTGAAATAAAAATTTTAAAAATTACAACAGCAAATAAATACTTAACAAGGACAAAGAAGTAAAAGAACGAAAGATAATTAACAATTTCAGTGAATACCTTGTTAGTAGCGTGGCTCGGCTTAACGTCCGGTAAATCCTAAAACCCCAAACAATAATTCACACTAATTCGACTGGATAGTTCCATTCAATAATCACTGCCATCAGTAGCCTGAGAACCCTACTTATACACCTGGCGGAAGACATATAGTATGTCACGTTCGAACCTTGGTGTCGGTAGTTACTCATTTTCATCCTATATGACAAAAAGTAATATGCTTTTTTCTCTCTTAATAATTTGTTTTTACTAAGTGCTAAAAGACACGATTCTTAACTCGTTGTAAAGATCGTCTGGTCATGAATTTGTATTAAGATAAAAGAAATGCTTGTCAAAATTCATAATAGATAGCGCTTCATGATTCAGCAAATATCATTTTTTGGGTTCTTTTTTTTTTCTTCTTTTTTCTGTCTGTTTGTCATGGCATAACCCAAGGACAACTATGGGGATAAACAGCAACCAAATTTCCTATAGTTAATAATGAGAACCTCCCCAAATATGATAATAAGATCCTCCTCCAAAATATAATAATGATACCCCCCACCAAAATATAATAATGAGACACCCCCAAAATATATATGATAATGAGATCCCCGCAAAATATAATAATGAGACCCCCAAAATATATAATAATGTGGCCTCTCCCAGATAATAATGAGACTCCCCCACAAAAATATAATAATGAGAACACCTGCAAAAAATATTTTTAACATATTAGATTTTGAAATTTCTAACACTTTTAAAGTTTTCAACAAGGAGTACAGTTTACAGTACCTGAGCACACGTATAATGGACCCTTAATTTGTGTCCATCAGTTTAGCCAAACAAAATCTTTATCATTTTGTTTAATCACACCTCGCTGATAATTTCTTAAGGAACCAAAGTTATGGCTGCTTTTAATGAGATATCTATTTTACAATAAGATTTAATGCTAGAATGGAACTCTTACTTTGTGTCGAGCTGATAATTTCTTAGCCAAAAATAAAAATTATGAACTTTTTTCATAACCTAATTCCTATGAGTATTTCTGGTTACCGGTTAATCTAGACGTTTAACCAAAATAGTTTTTTTTTTATTATTTACATTTGTAGTTGAGCAATGCTTACCAGAAGCCATAAAACCCAATCGTTTGATTTCATTTATTCGCCCTCGTAAAAACATATCTGGTGTTATGACCCTGTTGATTGCTACAAATACTTTTAAAAATGTAGGAAGTTGAAATCTTTTATGATGCCTACAGCCAGATATTTAAATATTTTTGAGTGTTCATAATGTTGATGATTTCCCTATAAGGCATGATGAAATAAATGAATAATTCAAAAATATAATCTCTTACTGGAGACAAATACTATATTTATGCATGTCGCAAGGTAAAAGATCTGCGAGACCATTTGTTATCTATGGTGAAGTAGATATTAAATATATTTATCAAATTTAGTACGACACATGGCGACACACGTGATGCACACAGTGGAAATCAGCCTCTTTCGTAACGTGGGATTACTCAACTTGTCTACCAAGAAACTTCTGCTAACGAACGCTAGATGGCATTGTCAAAGCAGTGTTTAAAGAAAAGTGTTATTCTCTTTCTATTTACCAACAGGATACTTTAGAGATAAAGTGATTTTTGTTCCCTCTGGGAGCCCTATTTGTCCCCAGCGAATTTCATGTCGCATTGATCATAACATCGCAAACAATTCCATAATTCCAGTAGATTATACACAGGTAAATCGAAGAATTCTACGAAACAAACAGATAATTAACATTTTCAGTCTCTTGTATGTCTTATATAGGAATTTTACACGTACATACGATAAGAACACCTTTACATACAAACCATCATTCAGTCATTTCATAAGCTTTCACTTTTTGTATACTTTTTAATTGAACGTAATTGTATGTAGATTCATTCTTACTAACTTCCTTGTTTGAGGAAATTTCATTGCGTCAACTAAATATTAATCGACATTCGTAAATAGTCACTGAAATTGGTATTTTAACCTCTGATTTATCATAAGATGCTTGAAATGGCAGATATTATTAATATTTACTAACCATTTCGGTACAAGACGAAATGTGTGAGAAGCTCAGTAAAGATCGACCTCACTGCTGTGTTTACGAAGTTTGCTCTACAGCTAGACATCTAGAATATATGATGAATCCGTAAATCTATAAGCGGGAAGAATTTCATGCCGCCAGTTTCATAATGGTGTACGCAGAAATAAGAGGACATTTAAACTAAAGATTATGAAATCATATTATAGGTACCTCCATGAGATCGCTAAAAACAGAGCATAGCTTGATGAAAAAGACGCCAAACTTGACGAAAACAAAATTTTAGCGTCTAAATGTTTATATTATTAAGAGGAAAGATCAAAGTATTTTTTTAATTATTTTTTAAAATGTTTCCTTCTTTTTAGAACATTCTAAATTTTGATTAAAAAAACTCTGTTTCTCTTTGTATCACCGGAACTAGTAAAATAACATAAAATTTTCGCGCGTTTTTTCTGTATGACAGACAATAATTTTGAAATTTATGCAAAAATAAAAATAATTGTCGGATTTTAATGAAACTTTCAGAAACTATTCACAAATAATGGAACTTCTTATAAATATGTTTTCCTTTTTTAAAGTCATGGCAGAAATATTTTTTCATATGTATTACCTCCTCCCACATAACTAACGAAAACTCTATAATTTCAATGTTAGGAAGATTAGTGATTATATTAGTTAAGAGCACAAGGCTTTGAGGAAACTAAATAATTATTTTTTAATTTTTTAGTTGGACAACCTCTACCTGAAAATCATCTCTGAATTGTAACATACAAAACTCAATAAAACAAAAATATTATTTAATTTCAAAAGCTTTTAATTGCTTTTATTTATTTTAATGAACATGGACAATATTGTATGAAAGCAAAAAGATATTTCGATGAAAAATGAATTTTTTAAACAATTATTTGTTATTTCTGAAATATTTTATTATTTTTACATTATGTTGTTAATTCTTCTAAAATTAGGGGAAAGTTTGTAGAATTTAACGAATGTTGTTATTAAATAGATATGTATTTACAGATTATAATTTCCAAAGCTTCTTACGAACAACAGTATATAAAAAAATATAATTTGTGTCAATAATAACACTAAATCAAATCTACAGAAGACCGGATGTATCAATGCGTGCAATAAAAAAAAAAACGTCACGTGGATTGAGTTTCTGTCCAGTATTTAACTTAAATACTGAATTTTTAATGCAATTATTTGTTATTTCTTTAATTATAATAGATTGTTACATTTAAGTTGTTAAAATATTCTAAAATTAGTTAAAAGCCGCATTCAGTTTTGTAAATGTCCTTTTGAGATAGATTTATTATTGCGAAACACGTGTGGAAAGTTAATATGATTTTTCAATTTCAACCGAGAAGGGTACCTACAAGTATCAGTATCATCTTATGAAATTTCAATTTGTATTTTATGTACACTTCTGATAAAATTTATTAAGAAAGGTACCTATAAATTAATTAGATACCTTTCTTATGAAATTTAATCTCACTCTCAACAGTCTTATTTTAATTTCTTTATAATATATTTTCCATAAAGCATCGTAAAGGTAAAGGTGAAAGCTAAGTACAAAAAAAAAAAAATAAATAAATAAAAAATTAGACCGCTGAAAGTTTTCCTTAAAAGTAACGAGGTAAATAATTTGTTCACTTAAATCTAAATAATTTCACTTCTCTTCTTCCGTAGAAGGAATTATTCTCACGTAAGCTATCAAAATGTCATGAATGTCTTTCGTCACCTTTCAAGTGACGCGAAAGATTATGGCCTGCTTTATTTTATTTTCAAACTACGTCTTTTCGGCGCAGAAACTAAGTTAAGCTTGGTTCAAAATATTTTAAATAAACATAATTTCTGATTTTCTTCAAATAAATTTTGAAAAATTATAATTGATTTTTAAAAGAATTTCAAACCGAGATTTTCATTTTTTTTATAAATTGGAAAAAAATTGCTGACATGATCGATTATTTGTCAATTTTGCTGACTAAAAAAACAAGATTTTTAACGAAAATTTTGGACGTGCTGGGAACGATTAAAAATGTAAAAAAATACCCCCCAAATACTTTGATCTTTCCTCTTAATAATAACATAAACATTTAGATGATAAAGTTTTGTTTTCGTCAAGTTTGGCGTCTTTTTCGTCATGCTATACTCTTTTTAGCGATCTCATGAAGGTACCTACCAATAGAGGCAATTTATTTTTCTTTGTTGGTGAGGTCTGTTGCTAATGCCACACAGGCAGTTGCAATCAGTGTGAAAATCACCAGTGTTGTATTTTATATAAGATAACAATACCTTAGGAAAGTAACAAGAGATAAGCTTGTCAAGGAATCTTTTTGCTATAAATGGCTCAGTTAACAACTTAAATAGGCTAAACATTTCTTTCGTTTTTTCTTTTCTTAATCAATTCATTGTCTGTGTATTTTGAAAAGTGCGGTTTTAAAGTTTTGACTTGGTTTTAAAGTTTTTAATCTTTTCAGTTTGTTCTTCCTTTTGTTTTCTTCTCAATCTAGCTCATATCTATCTTCATTGAGAATTGTTTCTATATAGTTTTGTTCTATTTCATCCTATCTAGTTTTGTTTGTTCATCCCTCTATCTAGTTTTGTTCTTCTCATGTCTATCTATCTATCTATCTATCTATCTATCTATCTATCTATCTATCTATGTTTATTCATTATCTATCTATCTATCTAGTTTTATCAGTTCATTATCTATCTATATAGTTTTGTTTGTTATCTATCTATCTATCTATCTATCTATCTATCTATCTATCTATCTATCTATCTATCTAGTTTTGTTTGTTTCTATCTATCTATCTATCTATCTATCTATCTATCTAGTTTTATCAGTTCATTATCTATCTATATAGTTTTGTTTGTTATCTATCTATCTATCTATCTAGTTTTGTTTGTTATCTATCTATCTATCTAGTTTTGTCTGTTCACTATCTATCTATCTATCTATCTAGTTTTGTCTGTTCATTCTCTATCTATCTATCTATCTATCTATCTAGTTTTGTTTGTTACCATTCTATCTATCTATCTAGTTTTGTTTTTGTCTGTTATCTTCTATCTATCTATCTATCTATCTATCTATCTATTTGTCTGTTTTGTTATCTATCTATCTATTGTCTATTATTTTGTTTGTTCGTTATCTATCTATCTATCTATCTATCTATCTATTTTGTCCATCTTATCTATCTATCTATCTAGTTTTGTCTGTTCGTTATCTATCTATCTATCTATCTATCTATCTAGTTTTGTCTGTTCGTTATCTATCTATCTAGTTTTGTCTGTTCAAATTATTATCTATCTATCTATCTATCTATCTTGTCTGTTTTTCTATCTATCTAGTTTTGTTTGTTCGTAATCTATCTATCTATCTATATCTATCTATCTAGTTTTGTCTGTTCGTTATCTATCTATTCATCTATCCTATCTATCTATCTATCTGTTCGTTTTTATCTATCTATCTAGTTTTGTCTGTTCGTTATCTATCTATCTCTATCTATCTATCTAGTTTTGTTTGTTCGTAATCTATCTATCTATCTATCTATCTATCTAGTTTTGTATTCGTTATCTATCTATCTATCTATCTATCTAGTTTTGTTGTGTTCGTTATCTATCTATCTATTTTGTCTATATTATATCTATCTATCTATCTATCTAGTTTTGTCTGTTCGTTATCTATCTATCTATCTATCTATCTATCTTCAATCTATCTATCTATCTATCTATCTAGTTTTGTCTGTTCGTTATCTATCTATCTATCTATCTTATCTATCTATCTATCTAGTTTTGTCTGTTCGTTATCCTATCTATCTATTTTTTTTGTTCCTAATCTATCTATCTATCTATCTATCTATCTATCTATCTATCTATCTTTTAGTTTGGTCTGTTCGTTATCTATCTATCTATCTATCTATCTATCTATCTATCTATCTATCTAGTTTTGTCTGTTCGTTATCTATCTATCTATCTATCTATCTATCTATCTAGTTTTGTCTGTTCGTTATCTATCTATCTATCTATCTATCTAGTTTTGTCTGTTCGTTATCTATCTATCTATCTAGTTTTGTTTGTTCGTAATCTATCTATCTATCTATCTATCTATCTATCTAGTTTTGTCTGTTCGTTATCTATCTATCTATCTATCTATCTATCTAGTTTTGTTTGTTCTATTATCTATCTATCTATCTAGTTTTTGTCTGTTCGTTATCTATCTAGTTTTGTTTGTTTGTTTGTTCGGAATCTAATCTATCTATCTAGTTTTGTCTGTTCGTTATCTATCTATCTATCTATCTAGTTTTGTTTGTTCGTTATCTATCTATCTATCTTTTTGTCTGTTCGTTTTGTTTGTTCCTAATCTATCTATCTATCTATCTATCTATCTATCTATCTATCTATCTATCTATCTAGTTTTGTTTGTTCGTTATCTATCTATCTAGTTTTGTCTGTTCGTTATCTATCTATCTATCTATCTATCTATCTATCTATCTATCTATCTCAGCTTATTCATTATCTATCTCTATCTCATTGTTTCAAAGATGATATAAAACAAAAAGTAAAGAATTAAAAACATATTTAGACAAAATCAAACTCATATTATAGATTAAATAACGCACGAAATTACAACCATCTTTTTTTCTCTTTTAATCCAGGAAATCTTTAAGAGAAGACAACAGTGTTGACCCGTGCATTGCTGACTGACCTACCTGCTATGTCGACATAAATGCCTCATGGCACACCCACTTTCTTTTCTTATAGCAATTATCAGGGTCAGATAGCCCTTAAGCTTGAGTAAAGTCTTCTGGGTTGTGATCCATTCATCATATTTCTCGTTAGTTACCTGTCATCTTTTCAATTACTTTATTTCACACGACAACACAAACCAAAACTCCGTAATTTAGCAAAAGAAAAAAAAATGGACAAAGAAATAAATTGTCGAGTTACGTTTCCTGTTTCGAAAGATATTAACTGCACATCTGGACCCTTAATAACAACTAATTTAAAATTTTGGTTTTGAGTTATTTGTTTCGAGGCTGGCTATCTATCTTTCTGTATGTCTCTCTGCCTATCTATCTATCTATCTATCTATCTATCTATCTATCTATCTATCTATCTGTTTTTGTCTATGTCTTTCTTTCTGCCTATCTGATCTATCTCTCTTTCTCTCTACCTATATCAGTCTGTTCAAATCTATCTATCTATCTATCTATCTATCTATCTATCTATCTATCTATCTAATTCTCATCATATCTATATATATCTTTGTAATTCTTCATATCTATCGCATGCTGTTCATATATATCTCAGTCTATCTATCTATCTATCTATCTATCTATCTATCTATCTATCTACGTCATTTCTTTCGTTCTTTCTTTTCAATATACAGTTTATTTGGTTTAATTGTGACACATCCTGATTAGAAAAAGTTGACCCAACTATATAGTTTCCCTAGTTATATAAAGCAAACTTAAACCAATTTTAAATGACTTCATCAAATACATATCTTAGAGAGAATATAAATGATCATAATAATTCTTTAATGCTTATCAAAATATTAAATAACATAATGAATTACTTCAATTCTTATAGCTTATTGGCTTTTGAATAATTTCCGTGATTTCACGTAGATAAACAGATCGATTGGAGAACATGACCTCCTTTCATTTCCTTTTGACCAAACATAAGTTGTTTATATTTGTTCATTGCTTCTTCATTAGTCATGTTGGCGTTTGGGATGACGCATATAATTCTATCTCTACTCAAAAAACACCGCTTACAATAGGAAAATTACAAATGTTGTCTTACAGTAGGTATTCAGTGAGTCATGAATGGTCAACCGAAAAAGTAATTTTTGTTCCTACTGGATCATTTAAACGGTTTGACAGTTCAAATTATTAAAAAATATGCTAATTGATTCAATAAAAGCAAAAACAAGGACATATGGCACAGTGGATAAAAGGCGTTGGTTAAATCTAGTGACAGGACCCAAAGAGTGTGAGTTCAATACCTGGTTAAGGCGGTAGAGAACTTGGAGATGGGAATTAACAGGAGATAACATGCATTAGACATGGCACGTGGAACTAGAACAGTCTACCCCAGTGAGCGAATTAAAGGGTTCAGTTCGACATTCCAACCACCTGAAGAAGTCCGGAGCATACAACGACCGAAGCGGTGACAGCTTAGAGTTAATAATAAAATAATAATAATAATAATAATAATAATAATAATAACGAAAGCATTAAGAAAAGGAAAACAAAGACATAGAGATTGTACAAATTGTGTTCAATAAATAGAATAAAAGTCATCCTTATTGTTGTTATTGCTCTGGATTTAAAATTCACTATTTACATTATTCGGACTATAGTGTTCATCTTTGACAAGGACACATGGCACAGTGGATAAAGGCGTTGGTTAGATCCAGTGACAGAACCCACAGTGTGTGAGTTGAATACCCGGTTAAGGCAGTGGAGAACTTGGAGATGGGAATTAACAGAAGATACCTGACAACTGACACCCATTAAACATGGCAGGTGGAACTAGAACAGTCTACCACAGTGAGCGAAATAAAAGGTTCAGTTTGACATTCTAACCACCTGAAGAAGGCCTGAAGAAAGAATATTATATATTACGAAACGTCGTAATAAATATGGCGACAATGATGAGGACAATAGTCCGAATAATGTAAATAGTATACATAATTCCTCATCTCACAAATATAGTCAGATACTGAAGGGCCGAAACGTTGTAATAAATATGGCGACGAAGATGAGGACAATAGTGCGAATAATGTAAATAGTGTACATAATACCTCATCTCAGAAATATAGACAGATACTGAAAGACCAAAACGTTGTAATAAACATGGCGACGAAAATGAAGACAATAGTCCGAATAATGTAACTAGTGTACATAATTCCTCATCTCAGAAATATAGACAGATACTGAAATGCCGAAACGTTGTAATAAATATGGAAACAAAGATGCGGACAATATTCCGAATAATGTACTGAATTCCTCATCTCAGGAATATAGCCAGATACATTCACGCATATATAAAAAAACTGTCTATTATTATTATTGCAACAAGGGCATGACGATGGAAGTTTCCATGTGTAATAATCTTCATGTTTTTAAGGGTTGAAAGGTCGGTGGATTCTGGATATTTTTTCAGAAAGTGTAAAAGGTACGCATTCTGAAAAACATATCGATCAAGATAATTGCAAACTATTATCATCTCACTACAAGGGAATGAACAAAATGACAGGAGAGTTCCATAAGATTTAGACTAAACTATTTGATTAACTGATATTACTAACTAGTCAACTAAAGGAAAATTTTACCATGAGCTTATTTTACCCACCAAATTACTCACGCGTCAGTTACATTCTATTCACGCTGTCTGTGTTTCATTCATTTTGTCGCGTTGATTACCAGCGCAACCGTTTTTCTTAAGACAAGCGACATTTGGAAAAAATATTTGCATTTTTTAAAATATTTTGTTTTATATTTGTATGCAAAGACATACCGTTATTATTAAACATTGTGTTATTACTAAAGAGTGTCTTTTCTTTTTTTTAAATAGTACTTTTCTTTTTACAAGTTTTAAAAAAATAAATTTTACCCGATGCAAGGCAATAAAGCCACTAAGGCAAAAGGAGACAAAGAAAATATTATTAAGAGCGGAAATTGAATTTAAATATTTGAAGATCAAAATTCACTGGATAGCAAGAAAAATATTGGAAGAGTTACGTCAGTCATTTTTGTTTATTATTATTATTATTTTTTTTTTTTTTTTTGATTTCTGGCGTTTACATATTTCTTTTCGGGTCCCGCCCAAGGACCTAAGGTTAGAAATGGCATCATGACACTTTCCACTGTCAAAAAAAAAAAAAATTACGTTGATAGAGCCCTTCGTAAAGTGTGGGCTGTACTTGTCAGAACAATTTTTTGTATCTCCTTGAGGCATGGACTTCCAGAAATTCCTTCAATTAGTCTACTGCAATCTTTTCCAACCAGTCCTAGGGCTACAACTACAACAGGGATTGTTGATGTTCCCATATGCCACATTTTCGAGATTTATTATTATTATTATTATTATTATTATTATTATGTTTTAGTCAGTCCGTCTCGCCCCATTAGCCAAGATCTGGAAAAAGGCAAGGTAATAAATATATGCATTCTATTTGAATAAATTCTGATGTTAAAATGATGACTTAAATGATGCAGTGTAAATATATTCTTTGCATTTGCTAATAATCCCCTGAATAGAATAATAATGCAGTTTTTTTATTCTTTTGTAAACAGCTGCTGTTAGGGACCTTGTTAATGTTCTTGTCTGTATCATTTTTGATCAGACCTAGGGCGTCAATTATTATTATTATTATTATTATTATTATTATTATTATTATTTAGTTGTTCTTGTTATTGTTTTTCTTGTGTTTATGCGACAAGATGATAAAAGAAAACCACTTTCTCAAATATTAAACAAATACTAGATTTTGGTTTGAAAACGGTTTTTGAGTCAGCTCGAAAAGTTTTCAGTAGCACTCGTGTATTTCTCTCTCTCTCTCTCTCTCTCTCTCTCTCTCTCTATATATATATATATATATATATATATATATATATATATATATATATGTCCAGGTAAGATAATATATATATATATATATATATATATATATATATATATATATATATGTGTGTGTGTGTGTGTGTGTGTGAAAAGTGTGTGTATATAAATATATATATATATATATATATATATATATATAAATTATTTATATATTATATGCGCAGTACTTATTAGAAAGCGCTCAATATCAGAGATAGAGCTAACATATTTGGTTGGATTGATGTGAGTTTGTGACCCTGGGTTTCACGCTTTTGTGATCGTCAGACAAACTCTGATGATCGCAAAAGCGTGAAATCCAGGGTCACAAACTCACAATCAATCCAACCATATATATATATATATATATATATATATATATATATATATATATATATGCTCAAAAGATTAATGTATTATTCTTACTCTGTCCTGGGCATTGAGTTCTACCTGGATTCTATCCTCTTGGAAATATATATATATGTATATATATATATATATTGACCATTAATATTATATATATATATATATATATATATATATATATATGTGTGTGTGTGTGTGTGTGTGTGTGTGTGTGTGTGTGTGTGTATGCATGTTAGTTCTATCACTGATAATGATCGCTTTCCAATAAGTACCGCACATATAATATATATTTCGATTTGCATTATATTTTTCCATCTCGGATGTTACCTGAATTTTATCAAAAAGAAAGTAGTTTCCATGTCTGATACATGCATACACACACACACACACATACACACACACACACACACACACACACACACACACATATATATATA